TTTCCCCACAAGCAAGTATTCAATTCCCTAAAGAACTGAATGGAAGGAAAACACTCTTTCCTGCCGGTGATGGACTTGCTAAAAGTGTCTTAGAAAACAACATGTAAATTAACTCTGGCCCAGGGACTTGTGCAATAGAGCAGAAAGGAACAAAAGTCAATGGGAACGGACCCTCTCCCCTCTGCCCAAGCCCCTAACAACTGATGACAGGAAGCTGGTGTGACTCATCTGCCTCCAGGTGCAATATCAACCATTTCACGCCCCAAATTCCTCAACCTTTTGTGAATGTGCATAACTCCCTTTCCTGAAATCTACAAAAGTATTTCGATGGCATCTCGGGGAGTCTGAGCTGGGTACAGGATACCCCTACTCCTTGCATTGCCGCTTTGCAATAAATAATTTCCTCTCCTCTTAATCACTCGGTGTGTAAACTGTTTCAGCCTGACTGTGCACTGGGCAGGGACCGTGTTAGGTCCGATAACACCCTCATGTTGGAAGGCACTCAAAATATGACCTGGGAAGAGCTGCCTCCTCAAAGTAGAGTCGACCTTAATGATGTGGATGCAGTAAAGCCTTTGGGACTCCCATTTGATGATGGGGCATGACTCAGAATGGGAAGAAACAGCTGTAAACATCCATTAATAACTGGAGCATTGAATGTATGACATATACATCTAGGAAAATTGTTGTTGTTGTTGTTGTTTGCCATCGAGTCGGCCCCGACTCATAGCGAAATTAGGAGTTGTCAAAAATGAAATGGAACTCATAAAGATTGATATCCTAGGCATTGTTGTTGTTATGTGCCGTCGAGTCGGCCCCGACTCATAGCGACCCCTCCTTGGGTTTCTGAGGCAGCATTACTACGGAAGTAGGATTGCCCAACCTTCCTTCCGAGGAGTGGCTGGTGGGTTTGAACCGCCAGCCTTCTGGTTAGCAGTCAAGTGCTTTAGCCACTATGCTACCAGAGAAATGGACTGGTTTTGGCCATTTTGAATCAGACACCAATATGATCCACTCTGCCAGGAATGACAAACTGAAGAGAAATGGCGTGACATTGATTGCCACAAAAAAATGTTTCCAGATCTATCCTAAAGTGCAGTGTTCAGTGATAGGATAATATACATACTCCTACAAGGAAAGCAGTTAATACTACTATTATTCAAATTTATGCACCTACCACAAAGCCAAAGATGAGGAAATTGAAGATTTTTACCAACTTCTGCAGTCTGAAATTGACCAAACATGCAATCAAGATGTGTTGATTATTACTGGTGATTGCAATGCAAAAGTCAGAAACAAAGAAGAATCACCCGTAGTTGGAAAATAAGGGTTTGGTGATAGAAATGACACCAGAGATCACATCATAAAATTTTGCAAGATGAGTGACTTATTCATTGCAAATACTTTTCTTCCACAACAAAAATGGTGGCTATACATGTAGACTTCACCAGATGGAATACATAGGAATTAGACTGACCACATCTGTGGCAACAGGCGATGGAAAAGCTCAGTATCTTCAGCCAAAATAAGGCCAGGAGCTGACTGTGGAACAGACCATCAACTGCTCGTATGCAAATTCAAGTTGAAGCTGAAGATAATTAAAACAAGACCACATGAGTCAAAATATGACCTTGAATATATCCCACCTGAATTTAGAGACTATCTGAAGAACAGATTTGACACATTGAACACCAATGACTAAAAACCAGACAAACTGTGGGATGACATCAAGAACATCATGCATGAAGAAAGCAAATGGTCATAGAAAAGATAGGAAGAAAAGACCAAAATGGTTGTCACAAAAGACTGTGAAACTTGCCCTTAAACAGATAGTAGCTAAAGTAAATGGAAGAAATTGACAAGATAAAAAAGCTGAACAGAAAATTTCAAAGAACAGATTAAGAAGACAAAGTCAGTTATTATAATGAAATGTGCAGACCTGGAGTTAGAAAACAAAAAGGGAAGAACATAGTTGACATTTCTCAAGCTGAAAGAACTGAAGAAAAAATTCAAGCCTTGAGATGCAATATTGAAAGATACTATGGGCCAAATATTGAATGATGCAGAAACATCAAAAGAAGGTGAAAGGAATACACAGTCACTATACCAAAAAGAATTGGCCAATGTTCATCTATTTCAGGAGGTGGCATATGATTAAGAACTGATAATATTGAAGGAAGAAGTCGAAGCTGCACTGAAGGAATTAGCAAAAAAAGAAGGCTCCAGGAACTGACAGAATATCCACTGAGATGTTTCAACAAACAGATGCCATGCTGGAGGCACTTACTGGTCTATGTCAAGAAATTTGGAAGACAGCTCCCTGGCCAACTGACTGGAAGAGATCCGTATTTGTACTTGGTGATCTGCTTCCATAAAGATTATAGTCAAGAAAACCCTATGAAGCAGTTCTACTCTGTAGCACACGGCATTGCCATAAGTCAGAATACACTCAATACACTCGATAGCAATGGATTTGATTTGAATATGCCAAACATTAATCTATGTTGTGGCAATACAGCAGAGAACAAAACAGGCAAAGTCCCTGCCCGAGGAGGGTGGAATTTTCATTCTAATGGGCAGAGAAGACAACAAACAGGTACATAATACGTCAAGTAGCATTAAGTGCCTAAAGCATTTGACTGCTAACCAGAAGGCTGGTGGTTCAAACTCACCAGGCACTCCTCAGAAGACTGGGCAATCTACTTCCATAGAGATACCACCTGAGAAACCCAAGGAAGAGTCACTATGAGTTGGAAACGACTTGATGGCAGTGAGTTTAGTAATAAGTGTTATTAAAAAAATAAATAAATAAAAAGAGTGGCCGGAACCCACTATTTAAGATGGGTGGTCAGAGAAGTCTTTTCCAAGTTGAAGACATTTGAGAATATTCCTAAATGAAATGAAGGAGATTGCCATTCTGATATCTGGGGAAAGAGAATTCCAAGCAGAGGAAACAGTTAATGCAAAGGCCTTGAAGTAGGCACATGCGTGGAGTGTTCAAGGAACAGCACAAAAGTCAGTGTGTTTGGAGAGGATTAAGGAGGGAAAAGAGTGGAATGAGATTAGACTGGAAAAGTAGAATCATATCACATGAGGCATTTAAGAAATTTGGATTTTATATCAAATGTGATGGGAGCCATTACAAGGTCTTGAGCAGAGGAATAACATAATCTGACCTGTATTTTAAGAGGATCTCTCTGGGTGTTGGGTGGAAGATAGACTAGAGGGAAAAAGGTAGAAGCAGAGAGGCCTAATAGGAAGCTGATATAATGGTCCAAGTAAAGATGTGGTTGGTTCAGATTAGATTTGTCATGGTGGTGGTGATGAGAAAAGCATCCAATGACTCTCGAATTTCCTACCAAAGACTATTTTAAAATTTATGTCACTAGGAGACTGGGGTGGATTTTTTTTTTCTGTCTTGTATTCAAAACTGACTTAAATGTAGAAGATAAAGAATAGAAATAATTTGGGTTCTCTGGGTTGAACAATGTTAACAGCATCCCCTGGGTATCAGTGTTATTTAACATTTGATAAATGATTAAGAAAAGGAATATTTAGAAACATGTCTAGGTACACAAATTATACTCTGCTTTCCACATAGTGAAATGTCAAGTCAATAGGGAGCCATCTTCTGAAACATTTCTAAAGCAATGTGAATAGGCTGGAAAGTAGCAGATATCTTACTAGGTAGACACGTATAAGGCAGCTTACATAGGAAAAGAAAATTCAGAGGGTACCTTTAAGAGAATGAACTCTGAACTGCCAGTTACCACCAAAGAAAGTGACATAGAAGTGACTGTAGATCATTCCTTCAAAACGACAGCTTTCCTAAAGTTCAAAAGTCCAGCACAAGTTCTGGATGTCCAGAATAAAGAGAAAACATCAGCTTCAACTAACACTCGGGACATCCATCTCTGGGCTCAGTGTGCAGTGCTGGCCACTGCATCCTAGGAAAGAAAAGAGCCTTAGAAAGGCAGCTAAAATGGTAAAAAGGATAGAGGGCCTTTTGTTTGAGGCATTAAAAGCCCATAAAGGTAACTATCTGAGAGAAGGATAAAAGTCTGTAAAAGCACGAAAGATTTGGAGAGTATAAAAATAGCCCTTTTCACACAATCCCTTAATTCTGGAATTAGGAGGAAAACAGCTTGAAAACGGAGGAAAAGTCTTCGTAGAAAGTCGCTCTGGTGGGGCTGTGGTTAAAGCATTGGGCTGGTAAACCAAAAGGTCAGCGGTTTGAACCCACCAGCCACTTCGCAGGAGAAAGATGAGGTGGTCTGCTTTCATAAAGATTTACAACGTTGGAAACCCTATGGGGGCGGTTTTAGTCAGTCCTATACACTGTCAGCATTTGAGTTCTCATAGTCAGAAAGTGAGAGTTATTGACTGAAACAAGAATGAGATCATTTGAATTTCACCCAAAGCACAAGTCCTTTACAAGTGTTCCATTAACAGAGGCCAGGGAGACTGCTGAATCAACCGTTACTCACGTGTCGAACAGTTCTACTCTAGGCTAAGGAATCCAAATTGATCCTACTTCACAGATTAAAAAGCTCAAGCCCAAGAAGGAAAGGTGAAGGTAATAACCAGAGAGTTATTGAGTTGGGAGATGTTAAAAATGGGCTGTAACCAATACAAAAGCCTTTACTTTTAGGATAGAGATTTATGTCCATAAATACATTATCAAGCTCTCTCCTTCCTAAAAAATATTAGATTCAGGAACCCAAGAGACATCCTTCCCCCTCAGAGAAAACGGAGCCCTTTCCTCCTTCCCATAGGTCTCTTACTTTACCTGTTTCTTACCCTCCCCGGAGGGTAGGAACTTTCAGCTCCGCCTCCCCTACTGGTCCAAGCTCCGCCTTCCCGGTCCACCTGTGTGCCCGGCCCCTGACGTTACCGTTCGGCTTCAGCGGCCTGCAGGATTTCGGCTTCCTATTGGTCCGTCCTTTCGAGGCCTGCATAGTCCACCAATGGCAGCGGCGCTGGGTTGGGGGTTGCCCATTTCCAAGATGGCGCCCCCAAGAGCTGGGAGCGGGTGACCAGCGGCGGGGAAGCGGCCTGGATTGGCCCTCCGGTTGCGGGGTCCTGGGGGCGTCTCGCCGGGTGCCCCCCGCCCCCCGGCCCGCCCACCACACCTTCCCCGGTCTAGAGCAATGGCCTCCGAGAACAGCAAGCAGTTTTGGAAGAGGAGCGCCAAGCTGCCAGGGAGGTGAGCCCAGGACGCTGAGAGGGAGAGGACTGGACCAAACCCCTCCAGATCCTAAGGTCTAAATCCTGCAGGCCTGGGGCGCCACGGATTGTGGAATCCTGATTTGGGGAACCCTGGCTGGGGTATAGGGGACCGCCTAGTGGCGGTAGGGCAGCTGTCAGGCAGAGGAGCGAGCAGCGAGCTTTGGGGGACAGCTGTGTGTGGGTGCAGACCAGGATCTGGGGGCGGAGGTCTCTGGATGCGCTGCCCTCAGCTGGGAGGTGGCAAGAGACCCGGCGTAAGGGGCAGTGGTTGGGTGAGTAGCTAGAGTCTGTTCTTGGTCCGGAGGGTTGCTTCTCACTTTCAACAGAACTCCCTCTCGAGGGTCTTCACCACGCACAGGTGGTTGCTTGGATGGGGATGGCCGCTTTCCTTGCACCCCCAGTTCCGCACGTACGAATCTTTCTCCTGGGCTCTCCAAAGATTCTGTTGGGGCCGCCTGCGGAAGTGACAGGAGAATCTCCAACCAGACCATACTTTATCTTGAGTTGGCTCTTTCCCATTAGAAATTATTACAAGGTGACCCCAGAATTGGGGCTATTGATTTGGCCAACCCTAGTGACTTCTTCCTCGCTTGCGTCGTAATGCTCATCTTGTGCAAATGTAAGAATCCTATCAATTTCAATTGTTTGGTAGGAGAGCCGAGCTTCTAAGCTACTTTTCTCTTATTTTTCCTTTTTGCTGTATGTTGAGACTCCTCGCAATTGTCCATCTATCGCTGTGCTGTTGGCTTACAGTCTTAATTTGTTTTGGGTAGTTCTGAGAAGTACAAGGTGGATCGTGTGTTTTAGTGGTGCATTTAGGATTTCTGCTAGTCACAGTCTGCTTGACCGTAAAATTCACGTTTGGTTGTATCCACATGCTACATTTCCTAATTGATTTAGTTGTTTCACTCTGGAATAATCCTTTGGATTTGTGACTTTTAGCAAGAGAGAAATGAGGGTCAGTGGTGACTATATAGCACTTATTTATTTAAGATCCTAGTAGACCTATGGAGAGTAATGTGGGAACCAGCTTTTATATTGTAATATTAAAATAATACAAGGGAATGCAAAGATAACTTCAGATTAAGTACTGTGGAATTGCAGTGTTAATGCTAAAGATGTTTTATGTTTTTAGATTAGCACCACTTCCTGCCAACTGATTCCTTTTCCTTCCTGGTCTAGTGACCTCTCCAGTTGTTCTAACTGTCCTTCTCTGGGGTTTTCCAAAGTGAGATCATTTCATTATATTTTGACATCCTAAGATACTACTCAAAATCAGTGGGAAAACTGTTAAGTCAGGAAGGAATGTATGTATGAGATGTGGGACATGGCATGGCTCTTTTGTGCCTGCTGACTGCTCCTTGCTACTGATGATTTTTTTTTTTTTTTCCCCTTTCCATATTTTCTCTCTTGGAGTCTAGGAATAGTCAACATTTTTAAAGCACTACTTTTATGAGATAGGAAGAGGAGTCTATTCAGTTTGTTCAAGTTTGTTCAAGTTTCTAGCTTCCCTTTTCATTTTAAAAAGGAATGTAGAGGCATAGAGGAAAGAATATTTGACTGCAGAAAGACCTGGGCTATTGTTTGGACTTTCTTACTTACCTTTGTGACCAAGGACAAATAATTTACTTAATCTCTCTGAGCCTCAGCTTCCATATCTATGAGATGAGAATAAGAATACTTTCCTCAGGGTTATTATGAGGACTAAATGAAATACTCTATTTATAAAAAACCTAAGTCAGTGTTTGTTTAGCACATTGTAGTTGCTCAATACATGTTAATTATTAATATTACTGTTATTAGTAGAATAAGCAAACGTTTAAAGAATGTCCTTACCCTTGTTATTGTTATGTGCCGCGTCGAGTCGGACCCGACTCATAGTGACCCCTCTTTGAGCTTCCGAGGAAGTATCACTACGAAGTAGATTGCCCCACCTTCCTTCCGAGGAGTGCCTGGTGGGTTTGAACTGCCATCCTTCTGGTTAGCAGTCAAGTGCCTTTAGGCACTATGCTACCAGAGCTCCCTGTCCTTACCCTGTTGTTGTTATGTGCCTTCGAGTCGCCCTGACTCATAGCGACCCCTCCTTGGGTTTCCGAGGCAGTATCACTACGGAAGTAGGATTGCCCAACCGTCCTTCTGAGGAGTGGCTGGTGGGTTTGAACCGCCAGCCTTCTGGTTAGCAGTCAAGTGCTTTAGCCACTATGCTACCAGAGCTCCTTACCCTAGTACTAGTTATTTGTCTTCATTGTTTATTCTTAAGGCATTAAAATGTTGCCACAATTCACAATAGTTTTTGCTACCTTGCTTGTTGAAGAGAAATATTGTTCAGCATTATGATTTCAGCAAGGAAGCCGCAAGGGTCCTGGTTATGGGAGAAAATCAAGATTATTTTAGATAGAAAGGTACTTTAACTTAAGGAAAATATTAGGATATTTTCTCAAGAATAGAACTTTTGCACTTGTCCCTTGTGGTCTTAGTGAAGAAAAACTTTCTTCTGAGTGGGAAACGACATAAATGACTATGTACTAACTAGGTCCATACAACCTAAAAGTGAAGCTAGTTTACTCTTACTTGCAAATTGAAAGGTAAAAAAATCAAAGTGACCACAGATTATTTCCTGTTTCCTTCATCATGACCTGGAGACTTTAACGACAACAAATAGGAATTTTATTTAATACACATAATCTAAGTTCAAAATGCATTAAGCATCCTTTAAAACAGAAAACAATAACTTTATTGATAGAATTTATATTACATAGAATTTATCCTTTTAAAGTATATAACCCAGTGTTTTTTAAATATATTCACCGAGTTGTATAACCATCACCACTGATTTCAGCACATTTTCATCACTCCAAAAAGAAGCCCAAACCCATTGGCAGTCAGTCAGTCCCCATTCATTTCTCTATCCAGCCCATCACAAGCACTAATCTACTTTCTGTTTTTAGAGATTTGTATTCTAGACATTTCATATAAATGAGATCCATATAATATATGGCCTTTTGTAACTGTCATCTTTCATTAAGCATAATATTTTGTACACTCATCTATGTTGTAGTAACAAAAAAAGCAATGCACTGCCATTGAGTGGGATCCGACTCATAGTGACTCCTTCTTGGGTTTTGAAGCAATATCACTATGGAAGGAGATTGCCCATCCTTCCTCCGAGGAGTGGCTGGTGGGTTTGAACAGCCAGCCTTTTGGTTAGCAGTCAAATGCCTTAGGCACTATGCCACCAGATCTCCTCTATGTTGTAGTATGGGTCAATAAATCATCCTTTTTATGGCTAAATAATAGTCCATTGTATGGATATACCACATTTTGTTTATCCATTCATCAGCTGATGGGCCTTTGTGTTGTTTCCACTTTTTGACTATTGTGAATTATGTTGCTATGAATATTTTTGTAGAGGTCTTTGTGTGGACATACATTTTCTGTTCTTTTGAGTGTGTACCTAGGAGTGTTATAGCTGGGTTATATGCATGGAATTAGATATCCTTATAGGTTTTCTCAGTTGAAAATTTCTTAGCTATAACCAAAGACCTTGAGGGAATGAGTTGGTTGGTCTGGGGGCTAGAACCATAGTCTTGGGGAACACTAACTTGTTGCACAAAGGTAATTGTCTACATCTTACTTTGGTGAATAATGACTGGGTTCTTAAAAGCTTGTGAGCAGTCCTCTAAGGTGCAATTATTGGTCTTTCCTCATCTGGAGCAAAGAAGAGTAAAGAAAATCAAAGACACAAGGAAACAGGCCAGAGGACTTATGGACTACATGAACCCTGGCCTCTGTGATTCTGAGACCAGAAGAACTAGATGGTGGCTATTGCAACTGACAGCTCTGAAAGGGATCACAAGAGGACATTCCAGAGAGAGTGGGAGAAAATGTGGAGCAACTCAAAATCATAAGAAAAGACCAGGCTTACTGATCTGATAAGAGACTGGTAGAACTCCCAAGACTATGGCCCTTAGACACCCTTCAAGCCTGGAACTGAACCTGCCACTTGGCACAACTATCAACCAAACGGTTAGGTGAACTATAACACTAGGGAAGTACCTACTCATTAATCAACTGAAGGAGCTCAAAAGTGCAGCTCAGAAGGCAGGAATGGATGGGGAAGAAGTATGATTGGAAATGGTAAACACAGGGAGCAAGTAGGAAGAGTGCAATTACATTGTGGGGATTGCAGTCAATGTCACAAAACAAAATGTGTATACATTGTTGAATAGAAAACCAATTTGCTCTGTAAACTTTCACCAAAATCACAATAAAGAAATAAGTTTTCTCAATTATTTACAAGAGTCCAGGTGTTTAATATATCAAATAGTCTTTATATTGATGACTAGGAAGATTAGAGGCAGTATATACCATTGTGAAAAAGAATGCAGGCTTTGGCTGAAGCAGACACTTGTAACAGTGTTCATTACAGCACTATTCACAGTAACCAAAAGGTGGGAACAACCCAAGTGTCCATCAACAGATGAATGGATAAACAAAGTGTGGTAGATGCATACAATGGAGTATTATCCAGCCATAAGTGAAGTTCTGATACATGCTGTAACATGGATGAACCTTGAAAACCTTATGTCAGAAGGAAGATTGGGCAGTCTACTTCTGTAATGATACCATCTCGGAAAACGAGGATGAGTCACTATGAGTCGGATCCAACTCGATGGCACTGAGTTTGGTTTTGGAAGTGAAATAAGTCAGATATAAAAGGACACATATGGTATCATTTCACTTATATAAAATATCTAGAATATTCAAATGCATAGAAACAAAAGTTTATTAATGGTTATCAGGGGCTGCAGTATGGATTACATCTCAACATAAAATGAAAATCCTCTCAACTGGACCAGTAATCAGCATCACGATAAATGATGAAAAGCTTGAAGTTGTCAAAGATTTCATATTACTTGGTTCCACAATCAACACCAATGGAAGCAGCAGTCAAAAATCAGATGTTGTATTGCACTG